TTTATTACTATTGTTGCTCATTGTAATATGAATGTGTAACCATGGCAACTTCCATAGTTTACATTCCATCTAATAGACTACACTTGTTAAAACTGTTCACTGCATCTGATAACGTAAAGCCAATCCTCTGACCTGAGTTTGCCTTTAGCAACCAGGGTATGTGCACATATGTTACAACTCTGGTTTGTAGAAAGAGACAGTGCAATTGATGATCTGAAAATAAAGCTTGTGAGAATTTTGACTGCGCTGACATACTGTTTGACAAACAAATTCTCTCTTGTGTAAGCAGTTTAAAAGCAGAAGAGACGACTTCTGGGGTGGCTACAAGTGAGCTTTTTATAACCAAGATTTTAAGTCCTTGTTGCCATAAGATAATACGTTACTTACAGCTGTTTTGATCATCTTTTCAATGTCAAGCCATGATTTGGTAAAATCTCATCATTTGGAGCTCTTTTTTTCGATGTGCTGTATAGAACACGTGCTAGTTTTAAACAATTTTTGTCAGTAACCCGTGCGTTCTGTCTCCCTGACCAGCTGAATGCAGTCAATATTGGAAGCATACTTTGTATCAACCACCTGTATGATTTCAGATTTTGATCTTTTTTTGTCTTTCCCCCGTAGTACATCTTTTGGGTTTATTTGCATTTATCTCCCAAACAAATAAAATTAAGCAAAAAATGATGGATTAGAACATGGGGATTTAATGAGTGATTCTAACTTTCCAATAAACAGTACTTATAGTTGGGTTTTTTAAATACCTAGGAAATGCTTGATTACTTGATAAGCTTGCCGTAAATATTGAGGCATTTGTACATCTTGACTCAGGAGCATAGCTTAAAAAATCTGTGATGTGTTGAACTCCAACTATGACGTTAGTAGCTGATGAAATATTTGCACTGATGTACTCCTCAAATTGTGATACATCCTGACATGATAACAAAGTGATTCTATTGTGATTTTCATTCAGGTGTTATTATGCAACAATATTAGCACTTTTTGGCCTGTGGGAGAGTTTGCTTTTTGTCTTCTTTCTGGATATATATCAACATTACAGGTGCTACAGATATTCGTAATCCCACCAACAGAGCTAAAGATTAAGAAGTTGATCCAATTGCTATTGAAATAAATTTCAAGGGAAGTTTAAGAAGATCTTAAATTGATAGACTGAATTATTCTGTTCACTAGAGCCCACCTATGCAGTCCAGAATTGATGCGTTTTATCAAGAGCTTTGGGTATTGTACTGATGAGATTCAGTTTGCTCCTGACTTGCTTTTAAAGCAGGAGGTAATTGCAGAAGACATACTGCACTTTACTTCATGCAGAACACTGCAATAGGCCAGTTACATGTGGTGATCTGAATGCTCCCAGGAATTTTGAGCTTTCCTGTCACAGCCTTACATGATTGTGCAACAAAACATTTGTAGTCTGACTTCAAGTTACTCCACCATTTTCAGTTTTGGAATTCAGATTATAAACCAGTTTGTTCTTCACCTAAAATAAAATATGAATTATTCTTTCACTGTCTTTTTAAAAATTCTTTCTTGGCACAACCATTTAAACCACTGTTACATAATTTTGCTGTCTCTTTAAGGGGGAAATAAAGCAGTCAGGATGGCAGATCATGGATTTTTTTTTTCTTCCTGGTCCTCCACAGTTCAGATCAATGGAATAATAATCTGTGTATCAAAACATACTGGGAGTATTCTATTCTGTCTATTATTCATTCAGTCATCTGTGATTGGAACATAGGCATTGATCATAATTGTTTAAGCAAAAATGAATAGTGGTCATGTATAAATCTGTCAACATGTATTTTTATTTTTGAACAAATACTTCAATCAACTGCATTCACAGAGTTGTTTTTATGTCCAAGACGTACTATGAAAGACTTTAATAGGTGGGGGGGGGGTTTCAGATGTGTGTTATGATGTTTATGATCTGCCAGTCCAGGTTACATGGGGTCAAATCCCACCTGTCTTATTGTCATGTCTGTTTTCAGCAATAAGATAAAAACCAGTGGAGCCAGGATTTTGCCTCATTGACTTGGGTGGGAATTTGCTAGCCTCTTAGCAGGTCACTTTACATACATGGTTCTTGGTACAAAGGAATATCACTTGGTAGCGATTAATACCGATTTAATTTGGAGAATGTTTACTCACTTGAGTCATCCAAGTGAAAATCCTCTGGCTCAGACGGTACATCATTATTGCAGTACTTAGCGCAGTTGCGTAGAGCTCTGCAGGATCTTTTTACCACAATGATGATAGTACAGTATATTGTGAAAGTAATTGTAACGTGTAATATGTAATTACATGTAATGTATAATTATTTCATAATAGAGAATTGTAGGAACTATTGCAAAGGTAATTAAAATGTTGTTCATTTTTTATTTTTAAATTCCCCCTTATCACCTTTCTTTGACTTACAAACTAAGAAAACTTAATTGTTCTCTAACATAGTATTAAAATGTAGTCTTACTTTATTCTTCATTTTGTTTGGTTTCCAGGTGGAGGTGTAGCTGTTGGAACCCTTCTTCTTATTGGTGAGTACAGAATATATAGATACTTAAAGCCACATTCTGTGTTTTGCTCATTTTAACGTATTTGTCAAATAACCTGTCTTTTCATTGTTTTTTTAAACTCAGACTTTAAGAAAGTAAAACTCCCAGGCCCCTTCACTTTGGATAATCTCCAGAGTGGGCTATTGTCTGTTTCAGAAATTAACTGGAGGTGGATCAAAACCTTTTTTTTTTAGGTTTGAGCCCCCAAGAAGAATACCACAGAATTCTGTTTGAAAGCAAGGTGGTTAGCAAATTTCAGGACTTTTTAGGAAAATTTACAAATTTTGTAAGATTTTCTGAACTACTTGATTTCCTGTAAGATTCAGGCTGTTTATCATCACAAAAGATTTGATTTATTTTTTTTTTTTTAATTTGGCTTTCTGAAGAAATATAAAGAATCTTTGAAACTTTGTTTTTTGAATTCCCTTTGGAAACTACATTGAAACTGTCTGTGTAGACTGTACCATGTCTCCGTTGCAGCTGGGATGCATTTGTATCTAGAGTTTTGGTTAAAATATTTTTAATTAGTCTTAACACTGAAGAACCTAACAGTGACTTTTGGGAAGAATTTACTTGAAGTCTGTTTTAGCTCCTGTTGGGATTACCTCATGTTATCTTTTGTTGGTGTAGTGCTCATGCAAACTTGCACTAGAGGCTGAACAGCATTTTCTGTTTGACAGTGAGCAAAGCAATTGCACTTATTGTTACTTTAAGGGTAGTTTTTGTTTCTACATTTTATTCATCATTAGAGACAGGTGTTGCTATCTCACTGAATTTAGATTTTTACATAAAGTGTATAAATTAGTCTATGTTGTGATGCAGATTAAGTAATTTGAACTCAGCTCTCCAAGTTGACAGAAAACTCACCCAGTTAGAGTGGAGGCTTTGCTGTCTGTTTAGTGACTTGAATCAGTTCACTAACATGTGAGATGAGTACCACAGCCAGCACAAGAGAAAGGAGGAGTGCACAGTGGAGGCTAGGAGAGAAATCAGGTGGCCTTTTTCAAGGGCAGAAAGTACCAGTTGAACTTAATTCTCTCATGGAATTTCATCCAGATTTCCATAAATTCAGGAAAAATGATTGAAGTTTTACCTCTGTTACTTCTTTCAGTGAAGATCTTGCTTTTCTCACTCAGTTTGAGAAGAGCTGCAATCTTGCTATAGACAAAGGAAGAAGAAAAAAAATATTAGAACCTATCATATTTTACACAGATCAGAGATTGTAAAGCTAGATGAGTTTTGTTTTGTCTACCCGTTACAATATTCACTGCCCCTTCCGGTAGCATCAAATGAACCTACTAGCTGGAAAATGGTCATTAAACAAAAGGAAGTTGTTCTTTGGACAGTATCCAATTAAGTGGTGAAATACTTTACCATAGGGTGTTGTGGAAGTAAAAAAAAAAAATCATGGTCTCAGTGAGAAACTGGACAGCTTGGTGGAAGAGAAAGCCCCTTTTCTTACTAGGTTAGTAGATACCAAGTCCGGCAAAGAAACTCCTTGATCTACAAATGGTGGGAGGCTGAGCAAGTGCCTGGTTGTAGCATCATATTTGCATGTTCAGTTCTTACTTCCTATTCCTAAATGTCTGCTTTTGGCTACTGTTGATCATAGGGTTAGCTATCCATTGGACCTGACCTTAATGGCACCAGGTGAAGCGAGTACAAAGACACTGAGCTTTATGTTCTAATGAGAGAGATGACAAGATTCAGTGATTTGAAAATTACAGGATTTTTGACTGATTTTTTTTTTCCCCCTTTCTCTGAATGCATAGGTGGCAATACTCAGTTGTGTGTCTTAATTTATTTACCCCAATGTTGGTTGTTTATTTGTGATCTGATATTAAACTTAGCTTCGCAGAAGCACAAAGAAGAATCTCTCTTTTAGATTTAAAAGCTATTTTTTTTTTCCCCATATAAGACTTACCATATATTATTTTGAAACAGAATTATATACAAAAAGTCTTAAAGTAAGAACTATATTTATTCATGACTCATTAGTCTAAAAATCTTTAGACTAATTTTTAAAGTTGGTGCAGGTAGAATTGGAACTGCATTTTTAGAATATCCTGTCAGTATACAAAAAAAATCTGTCATGAGATTAGTCTAGGCAAGCTTAATATTATACAGGATTGAAGCTGTCAGTGATAAACCTCCTAGGAAGATCTTTATGCGTTGTACTCCAAGTGTTATAAAAAGGTTAAATTCTTCCCCCTTCCTTCAACATTCTCTAAGGCAAGAATAAATTGCATTACTTTTAGCTTAGCTCCCTTTGCAAATTAAATGCTCATCTTCATTATTTGACACATTATCTTGGTTAATTTAACCAAATAATAGTAGATTCAGGGTATTAAAATATTTATTTTAACTGTTGTGTTCTGAAGATGTAGTGATGGCACAGGTTACTTGATAAGACTGTAAAATATTGTTTGAAATATAAGTGCACAATTTTTTTAAACTTAATGAAGATCATCATGATTTTCGGTTGAACTTTATAATATACTCTTTTGACAGTGTTTTCTTTATATGAGAATTAGAGAGTTGAGGCACATGGTAGGCTCATGCAACGTCGTAGCTAGTAAAGAAACTTGAAACTTCCTGGGTTTTGTTCATATGACAAGAATGTTTTGGATTTTAACTCATACTTTGATTTCAAAAGATCTTACTGTACTGGGTTTATAAGAAGTGGTAAAACAAGCATTCTGCCTCTGCATGAACTGAATTGAACACTATCAAAACGGTTTGTTCAATATGAACTTGAGACCGCTTGTTTGTTGTTTCATCTTAAACTGCTCAGGAAAATTAGCTTTCTGGAAGAATCTCCCCTTTCAAAACAAACAAATAGTATAGCTGGTGATTGAGCACACTCATTTTCCCCCTCCCCTCTCTGATGTACATCAACCTGTTGTATGTCTGCTTTGCCACCCTCAGGAAGAGTTTCCAGGAGGGTGTTATTTTGTTTTTTAAATATGAGCCTTGTTTATATAACACATTCTGAATAAGTTACAGCACACTCAAATAGGTCTGTTTTGGGTACTCTATAAGAAACTATTCTTACATACCTTTAAGATGCTCTAGATTTGACAAGGTCATTGGGAAGCTAAATGTTTTAAAGATTATCAGTAGAAGGGTTTTTGTTGGTAGCTGAGGTCAATTATTGAAAGTTAAAGTTGTCTGGTGAAAAGCAGGTCTATACTTGTACATCCTAAGCCTTGAAGCAGTTTCAGCTACTTTAATTAGCTACTATTATTTTTGCTAGACATGCAATTTAACCTGACTTGGTAAAAGCTCTCTTCGCTTGTCAATATAATTGAATTTATCATATTTTTAAAGTTGAAAAAGATAATCTCTGGAGAGGTACAAAACAGTGATTTGCTAAATATAATTTTACAAAATACAAGTTACCAGAATTCACCTTCCTCAAGTATGGCCAAATGCCAAATATTGTAACTTATATGTTTGACAACTCCGTTTTGGCATGTGCTAATTAAATGCAAGTGACACAGAGTATATCCCCCCAAGCTTAGTAAATGTGGACATTAGTAAAGTATCTTTTAAATGGAATTTCAGATTATTAAAATAATCATATCTTATAACCTGCAGCAATTCAGAGGGATGTTTCATAGCTACAGAAAGACACACCTTAGGTCACAGTACCGTACTGTAGAGCTATCTGGTGAAAAAATGATCAATACTGATAGGCTATGACAGGCTTTTGGCAGCTTTAGGGCAACCTGTCTAGACTTTGTACAGAGAAAAAAAGAAATAAGCTATCTGTACATTATGTTGGTGCAGTGTTATTTTTTCCTCTTATAGCTCACATAATTTTAAGCAATTATACTACAAATTATCTCTGGAGTTTTTCAAAGACCTTCATGCTGTTTGTTATACTGAAGCTTAGAAGTCAGCTGTTATAAGTGTGATCTTTACATATTTGTTACCTTATGGTGGATTTTGTTCCTGACTTTTTGTTCCTCTTCAAGTTATAGTGCTTATTCTCCATCCCTCCTTTGGAACATGGATACCTCTGTGCAGAAGGAGAGGTTATGGCTAGAGATTTTTTTCCTAAGGCTGCATGTTTGTGTATCAATTTCCATAATTAGATTATTTTTTTGTCCTTAATGTTTATATAAATGATATATTTACAGTGCTTCACTCATATCTTCTCTCTTTGTTTTCTGTGCCCTAGCTAAACTCCAGTGCCTTAAAATTTTTATTTCTCTTGAGCAGGAGCTACAGACAGTCCACGCACAAAGGTGTTGAGAATGTCTCTTGTGCTCAGTAGCCTATATAGTCTAGGGGTGGAAAGAGCCATAAATAGGAATTGGTCTTTATCCTTAGATTTCAACAGGGTTATTTATATGTTGGAATTAATTGTGCTGATACTGACAATCCTACTTTTTCTTCATGACTCTGTTAGCCATGGAAAAAGTATGCTGTTGCAGAAAGAGACCAATGGATAATGATCACAATAAATTATGTCCTTATCTGTAGGATCAGAAGAGGTTTTGTCCTGGAGTCAGTATGCATGACTTCTAGGTAAATAATCTCTTTTCCTTGTGTAGTTTTGCGCTTCACTAGTTACTCACCTGCTGCTTAGCTGTAGAACACTCTTTGTTCAGAAAGAATCAGAGAAAGCTGCGGACTGACTGTTGTGTGACTTGCAGTGTCTGGACCCAGAAAAGGGTCTGCAGCTGCAAGAGTCTTATTTGTTTATGTGCCTTATTAGCTAGAAGTAGAGTTCACAATGAAGGCTGCTGATGGGACAGCTCTTTAGTATGGGGGCTAAGAATAACGATTTGGGCCAGGCTTCTTAAGTATCTTGGCTGACTAAAATGCACTTAAGTGCTAGTTCCTACACATACAGAATGGAGGTAGTTCTTTTGGATGTGGGTGTAATTTGGAAAAATATAAAGACAACAGTTCAGAATTTATCCTAGTCATCAAAATAGTAAGTCCAAGTGTTATCAGAAAGCAAATATACTTCGAAGTATTTCATTCAATTTATCTATGAAAGTAATCAGTGAGCTGCTGAAGTACCTGTGCTAAATGAGTTGTTTGTTTATTTACAAGAAGAAAGCTGTACTCCTATGGTCTTGAATAGTAACGTAACTATTGAAGCCAGGGTACAATGGATGCTATCAGAAAAGCCCCATACGGGTGCACTTTAGATCTTTTGAATACCACAAAAGTTTAGTGACCTAGAAATGAATCAATAAAAAGCCATCCTTTATGTGACAAATTGAAGAACTGAGGGATTCTTACAGATGCATTGACTTTAACAATTCAAGATAGACTGTTCGTGGAGGCTTTCTGAGACACGGTTAATCCTTACAGTACTGTAGCAGACTATGAGGTGGTTTATCTTGAGATCACTCTCCTATAGTTCATTTCTGATTTTTACTGTAAGTTTACTGTTACAAAAATCAATGTAAGAAGGCTAAAGGACAGTCTAATGCTAAAATGATATGTCCTTACACTGAATGTAAATGTTTTTAATTTGCTAAATTGAAAATTCCTTATTGTTTTGCAAAGTATATTTTGGAAGGGTGTGGCAGTGTAAGAACCTCTTTAGTCCTATTGTATTACAAGTAGGCCTATCATAACAAAATTAATTATAATCTTGGATAGGTCAGTAAAAAGGTTTCCATCACTTGTTCCTCATTGCTTCACTTCTATAGTATGTTTTAACATTTCAGCATTTCAAGTGAAATTTGAGTAAAAATTCTTCTTAATTACTACAGCCTTATTTCTTCTTAATTTAGTAAATTATCAACACACAGTATGATTTCTTATATTTATCTGTGGTTTATGGAGTTTCTGTGTCATGTTCGTCACAAAATTGAGCATGTTATTTACTATCTAAGGAATAAATAATATAAAAAAATATCCAGAAAGACTTTCTGTGTCTTTGCACACACATACACAAACCATAAAATTCTTGGACTAAATGAAGATATTGGCCTATATTCCATTAAATGACAGTTAAATCCTGTCCATATGCAATACAACTCAGTGTTTCTATGCCTCAAATGGTGAAGGTGAACTTTAACCTGTAGTTAAAAGTTAAGAAATCAAGATTTTTGATTCAGCAAGGACAATGTAAATGTTACAGCTGAGGATCCTTCCAGATCACCTGACTAGTGTTCCTTTTCTTCTTTACGTCAAATGGAAGGAGGTCTGACAAAATTGTTTCCCTCCACTGACATCTGCTGCAGTGATGTGATTATATGGGAGGCTTGATGGCTTCTTTCAGGTAGCTCAGACAATTTAAACAAAAATAGTTAATAAATAGATGTCATGCTGTCACTTCGATTTCTAGAGGGCTTTGGTTCTTTGGGAGCCTCATAGATGGAGATTAGTTCATGGAAGTCAATATACTCTGAATAATATATTACATTTCTATTGCAGTAAATGACCAAAGCATAAACAACTAGAGAGCCAGCATTTAGGGAGCAGGAGCTGTGTGTGTTCCTGGACTCCAGTTCTGAAGGGAGAATTACTCTGCATATGGGTTTTTTTCCTCTTATTGAAGCAGTTTAAGACCTAAGCAGGCTCAAAAGACTATATTTGCAAAATAAGACTGTAATATTTCTTCAAAACTTTAGGTAGTGTCAGTTCTACTTTTTGCTTCTGCAGTTGGAGTGCTTCAGTTTTATCTGAATTGAGTCTTGTCTCCATCCTAGTCCCATACATGGATCTACATCCTCAGTCACAGCACAGTGTATGGAGCTGAGTTACTAGGAAAACAGTTCTTCTGTAACACTATTAATGGTTTTCAAGCATGCAACAGTAAACTATATAAAATATTTAATTAGGAGCTCCAAACTTTCAAGGAAGTTTCAGTTTTTAATTCTTTAATGCTTTTGGAAATCAGTCCTGCTGAAATTTTCATAAGGAGCACAGCACTGTCAACAGTAAACTGTACTTTTAGCAGTACTGCTCTGTCCGTATTTTTCACTAGATGGTTATTTTTTAAGAAGATAAATGTGTTATTGGCAGTACGTTGGAAGGCTAATATGGCCTACAAAGCAGGTTAACAGTATCCAAGGTAAATTACATTAATACAGTCTGAGTTCTTAAAGCCCTCAGAGTCTACAATAAACTGGATGTATCAATGGCTAGAACTAGCAGAAATAGTGTTGTAATTATTGTATTCCTTTTCACTTATTTGGATGTCCATTTCTATGTAATTTCCTGCCTTGGCGACTGTGTTATGAAGCATTTCTCTCTATCGTGAAATGTTGCTTTAGAGTCACTTGTAGTTAATTTCTTGTGAAACTTTCAAATAAGTATTTCTCCTTAACAACAAAGTAGGTAATCTTGACACTATATATTTAGGGATTATTCTGAAAAATAAAGAAATTTAAAAAATACATTTTCCAAATTTACAGTGCATACATTTTACATTTTTTTAAAAAGTGTCTGAAATACTACATTGAAAAGTGAAATTAAAAAAGCAGGAAATAAATTCTGTTTTGCCCAATATCCCATGGAGGATGGAGAATATCTCTTGGGGAACTGTTCCTTCTCTAGTGAATTTGAAAACTTGTGGTTTGAATTTCCTTCTCTTGTTAATCTAAGCACTGGAAGTGTCAGTGCTTGTGCACAATATTAGGAGTGTAACAGTGCAACACTATTTTTCTGTGATTTTTTTCTTAAGTTTCCCCATTGCTATTAATGTTCTTTCTGCTTTTTAGATATACATCTCCTTTCTTCCTCCTCCACTTCCTTGGTTCTTTTTGACTCTTCAGCTCCAAAACATACTATTTTGGTACATATCAAAGTTATATTTTTTTATTATTTTTTTTCTTTAGTATGTTTTACAAGATAGATATGAATGATAACTTTCTTATTTTCAGCCTTTGTTATTGGTTTGGTGGGTTTTCTTTTACTATTTTCGTATGTGATTCATAATAGGGAGGAAATTGTTTCCAAGTCACACAAAGAATGGATTAAGAGTCTTGTTGGTTCTGTGTAAAGAAAATCTCTCTCTCTCTGTATTTTTCTGACACACCATTCCTGTGTTTTATCTTCCAGCAGCCAGATTGACAGATGCAAAAGTGAAACCTTACATCGTTGCATTTATTTTTCTCCCAAAGTATTTCAGATATCTTTCTAACTAAATGTCAGGAGTATGTCATTCCAAAGGGTATGACCTAAAATTTTACTGGACAATTAATTGGGTAGTTATATTTTTTGATAGCATTAACATAGCTATTGTTTATATTTTCTAAAAATAAAGAAAATCAGACATGGTTCAAATTTCAATTGTTATTTACTCATTCACTTCCCCATAGTTTTGAGTTACAGTAAGTTTTAATTGTATGAAGCTCATTAAGACTTTCTAATTCTGGTAATTTCTGATATGGAACATACAACAAAGAAGTTGAAGCAAATATTAGCCTTTCTGAAGTCAGTGGGAGTTTGTATTTTCATTTCAGTAGGCTAATATTCACAGTGTCTGTTAACAAGTATTGTCTCACTTTTTAAACTGTAAGTTCATGTGTCTGTTGAGTTCATTCATGATTTTGCTCTGGAGAGCATTCAAAAACAACACTGCAAATTAAATATTTTTTTCAATAAATGCATTTGTTTTGCCTGTTTTTGTAGTTCTCACACTTTTGAGAGAAATGCAAATGTAAGAATGTCTCTATAAGAAAAGATACCTTTATATTGCTTTAGCTTGCCAAATGTGATTAAATTTTGAAAACCGTCAATTAATAGATATTTTAAGCAAGTTGATTGATTTTTCAATCATTATGAATATAAATCTTAAAACAGTTCTCCTAAATGAACAAAACTTCTTCCCATTAAACCAAGATTTCAGTAATCTTAGTTGATACTGATGGGAAGCCTCGTTAGGAAGACAGCACTATTGCTGTGTCCCATCCATATCGTTGAATCAAATACATTATGGAGAACTATTTATCTGACTTGAAAAATTAGGAATAAAATACTATCAAGCATTATTTTTAAAGCTTTGGAATCATATTTTACCTATTATCTCTGTTGTGCGTTATATACTCTAGGTAGTAGACCAAAAAAGGGCTTTTGTATTGTTGTGATAATACAAGTGAGTGATTTAGCTAACAAAAAATAAAAATTTCCAACCATTATTGTTTCCACAGAGGAAGATAAATATGGTCTTTACTCCAATTTGTTGTTCAAGTATTTTCTCGCAGAGGGAGTTGTCTGTGGACATGAATTGTTTGTTGCTTCTGCTAAAGAGCATCCTGACAACATCTTAAAGGTAAAGAAGATTCAAAGCTTTTGACAAGTAAAGCTGCAGTCTCTTGATGAATTTAAATACATTTTAAAGTGTATGTATTGTGTAGTAAGAAATTAATTAATCTTGGTGATTCATAAGAATGTGTTGTGAAGTGCAGGAGTATTTACACTAGCCAGATTTGGGAATTGAATTTAGCTCACTAGCCTCTGTCTATGGACAATGGAGTAAGATCCTCCCAAGGCCAAATCAAGCTAGGAGCCTACTTATCCTTTATTTTGGTTATGGATGAAAACTTGTGGAGATATTTATTGTCACTTCTTATAGAAAAGAAGAAAATCATGTAACATCTTTACTACTTCCTTTACACATACTTTCATTCTGACTGTCTTTTTTGTACTAAGAAACATGGTCACCTTTGGATCAGATCGTATAGAAAGGTTCCTTTCAGACTTCAGTGAGCTTCTAATCAAACACTGATGGTTTCCATTGTGAGGAAATAATATAAGGAAAAAAGCCTAATCAACACTGCAAAAAATGCTGAAGTGTGAGGATAATCTTACAAAATTTCATTAAATATTTTATGTCTTTCCAAGGCTGCTTTTTTCTAGTATCAAAAGTAACATATAATTTGCTGATTACTTCTGCATCAAATGAAGTCTGTCTATTTCCTTAAGAGTCTTCAGAGACTATTTCTGGACAAATTGATTATTTTTCTTTTTTCCTACCTAGTGATGGTAGATTCTATGCCTTATCTATTCAATATTATCTTCAGTATTCAGGAAAAAGTATATTCTTAATGAAATTATATGGTTGTGGTTATAAAAAATCTAATAATTTTTTATGATCTTGAATCTAAAGAGGGTTCATTTAGGGGTGAAGTTTCTATCTTTTGTTCTTGTGGTTTAGAATATAGCCTAAACAAATAGGTTAGAATTTGATTGTGAAGTAAGAATGGCATAAGAATGTGGTATATTTTACAGAATATTTGTTTTTAAATAACTGACAATCAAGTCATTGACTCTCTGATCATGCAATACATTATAATTACATTGTTTTTCTCATAAAAATTAAATTATTCAGATGAATCTTTTTATTGCATTGCATTAAAATTTCTTAAAACAGAGTAGCTAACATACATTTTATTCTTCTTTCATTCACCTTTGAATCAATTGATCATGGCATGTCATATTTTTTCTATTCTTTATGCTTTTGCAAGTTTATCAACAGACATTGTTACGTACATCTATCCTTCTTGTACCAGTTTGAGTTTCTGGTCACTTAGTTCCATGTGACTTATTGAGGTCTGTTGTCTGATTTGGAATAAATTTTCCTTCTTCCTTTTCAGGGATAGATACTAGGTAATAACACTGCATTCCTCTGTTGTGACTCCAGAGTGGTGTTACTGTAAGAGCTTATAAATGGATGGACAATATTACTACGGGAAAGTTGAAGAAAACATAATTTTTTCTTGTTTTCTTCTTCTGTTTGTGTGTTTATATATCCAACAGTACTCTTGGCTATTTTTTTCTATTCTTACTTTGACTATTCAACACTTCCTTTGCTTAACAGACAAGGCACAGTAGAGTTGATTTCTCTGATTTGTATTGCTGTCTTGAAATTGCTTCAGTGAAGTAACCCTATAATATGCTAGGCATCAATCTAGAAAATTACATACTTTCACACTTGGAAAGCTTAGGCACTTCTGGAAATGCCAATATGTGTTACCTATGAAACTCTATTGCCTTGCCTGGAAAAAGTTGATCTAAGGCTGGCATTGGCCACAGTTAGATCTCCAAAGCACAGAAGTAGAGGAGTTTGCCCTACACATGCTTCACTTAACTTTTAAAAGAAAGGACCTTCAAGTGTGTCAAGAAGTCCTCTCCTGTCATAATAATGAGCTGTTTGGGGTTTGGATGTCTCCACCAAGTCAGGATTTTAATATAACATATCTGATAGTTGAATAACATTGTATTTTATTTACTGAGATTTGTAATTAATTTCTTTTCAGGATCTAATTGGACTGTATTCCTTTCTGGAAAGGCAACATAGATATGGTACATACCAATCTGAATTATACATTTTATGCTTGGTTTTTATTTTTAAAAATTCAAGTATGGATTCAATATATTCTATAGCTAGTGTTCTAATTAACTGGTGTTTTACATAAAGGCAGTTCCTTAACTGCCTTATGTCCATATTGTGTGGTCAGTCTATTTATACATTCAGTTCTCTGCTGAGATGCCATAATTGCCCTATTCTAATTTTATGATGTGATTGGAAGTTTCTTGAACCTATAACCGAGACAAATATTGCTGGTAGTGGGAAGGGGAAAAGACATTCTTATAGACCATAATTATCTTGAAATTGTGTATAACTAAAAGACAAGCAGAGGATAAAAAGCCCTGATCAGCTGCCTAAGATATATTATATTACCACCCACCAATTTATCCATCATCCTTTGAAAACATATTCATGCCTTTTGTAGTCAAAGCTCCTTCAGGAAATTGGCATTAAGATGTAATGCTGAAAAATTATACACCTCTGGTAAAACCTACAGAACTACATACATGCTGGTTTTTAGAAAGTATTTTAAACATTTGAGAGCATTTCTGTTCAATCTCTGTTCAACAAAAGGCAAATTTTTACTATTAGGACATAAATACTAGGAATAGTATAGAATATAAGAAATAGTATGATATGCTTCTGTGATCAATCATAAAATAAAACTGATTGCATTGGTAAATGGAAAACTAATTCAATAATAAAACTGAAGGAAACATTCTATTTTAACATTCTGTTTTCGGCACCATACCTTATTAAGTTTAGACCACCAATTATGAAAGGCTGTAATGTGCTAAAGCTTAAAAACAAGGAGAAACTATAAACTAGAGAGGTTTTTTTTTTCTTGTGTCTATTTCCATAACTTCAATGTGTTTAGTGGCTATATTTTTTTTATAATTCAGCATTCTAAAGTTAGTGCCAGCTACTTAGAAGTTGCATATAGCATGTGTGTTTGAGTATGAAACATACAAATTTGAGTATATGGTTATATTCATTACAGAGGAAGTCTTAACTTAAATATTGTTACGCTTTTTGGAAGAAACAGCAAGTAAGGGGGTTGAATATTTCCTTGAACATCACTGTAGCCAAAATTAGAACAGGCTTGCATCCATTCCAAGTTAGGCTGAGTACCAGTCTGTCTTGTGAAAGCCATGAAAATACAGTAAATATGTAACAGTTTAGGTCTTTACTCCCATTCTCCTTGTTAGTGCCAAGGTATCGTTTCAGTCTTAAAAAGCAAACAAACAAACAAAAAAACCCCACCTGTATCTGTGGTGGCTGCATTTCTATATTTCTCGCTTTTCCTACTTTGGATTTGGCATTAAAGTTCTAAAATTGCCTAAACTGCCTATATAAGAATTTTTTTTGCCTTTTTTCCTAATTTTGTTGTCTAGACGTTGGGGGAGGAACTGATTCTCACAAGTTTTCATGAGAAAAAATTGGATTATATTTGTCAGTTATGAGCTCATCTTGACATTATAGAGTGCTCTCTGTTAAGTTGCTTTTACCATGGAACCTTTGCAAAGTTTGTCTCAAGTGAAAGACTTACTGGTCATTATATGTGCTGGGAAACACAAAACAACATCTCCTGAAGCCCAACACTCTCCTTGTGGCACCCTGGCCAGTGTTACCTCAATGACCATTCCACTGGGAACCTGGAAGCCTGAGGTAGAAGGTCCAGAACTGCTTTCTAGAGCTGCATCTGTTATTCTCCTGTGGAAAAGTTGAAGAACGCTCTGTGCAATTGCTGCATTCCTATGGAATTTCCATTTTCAAGCTGGAATTTTATTACAGGATACTTCTGGACTCTGTTGAGATCGCCTTTTGAAGGCTCTCTTACAAGAAGAGAAGATAAAGATCACATCCTTCAAGCAAAAAAAGAAATTACTTTGACATAGTCTATGAGCCTGCTGCTTAAGGTGGTGATGCTTTTCCTTAGAAGGAAATGCATTCCCCAAAATTCTACGCCTAAGCAAATCCTTTAGACTTACCATACTAAGGCATGAAGTGGTATTGACCTTGTATGTCTGGTGTCATTGTACTTCCAAGTTTGAAAATGAACAATGCGCAAACAGTTTGCTCTCTGTAGAGAGCTACTCTCTACACTGAAGATTCTCTTGAGTAGTAAAGCCCTTAGCGTGCCCATGTGTCAGATATGCAGCTTTGCTGTGTTTGCTGGATGTATCCTGAAGTCAAGTCAGTCAGGACAAACCACACTAGTGGTCTAGGGAACAACAGTGACGGGGAAATATGCACCATCACTTGGTGAGGAAGCTGGGAGGTGCCTTCAGAGAAGTATAATTGTTTACTAAAAAAAACAGTCGGGACAAGATCAAGAAAATCCTCCAGGAACAAGTTTTTTAAAAATTCCTACCAAGCTGAAAAGATCTCTAAAACAAAAGTGAAAGTGTATTGTAAATATGACATTTTGTTTATGTATGTCATCTGGAAAACACTGAAAAAATTCTACCTCCAACAAGCTGGTTGTACTGAGTGGACCTGAAGAAGAGAAAGTGAACACTTACTTTTTTCCCACTGAAAAGATGAATGCAGGATGAATGTAGCAAAATGTACTTTTGTTATTTCCAGGATTATTTAAAATAACAACAGCAATAAACAACCCACTGAGCTTCAGTGTTGTATTACTGTGTACGCAAACAATGTCTTGAAAGAAAGCATGGCTGTCTATATGGACTTTTTTATTACAGCAAAATACATTCAACCATGATGCTTACATTTTCCCCTCATAGATATGACTCTAAAACATTGTTTTGTCAAAAGGAAGAATGCAAACCTGGAGGAATTATCAGGCTGGTGAGCAGGACTTTCCAAGCTACCATTTTCAAAGAGTGCCAATCTAACTCCTTCCTGTCTCTTCACTTTCTGGTGCCCTGAAACAAGCAGAGTAAGGTGTTTTTTATTTCATCTGACATTTGTAAATGCTTCATAAAGAAATTAAA